TGGACAATCGCTTTCCACTTGTTGCGGTCTTCGGCAGTGTGGAGTGCATCGTGGACTCCAATTTTGGTGTTGTCGCGGATCTGGTCTTTCCAGCGCATGGTGCTTCTTCCTCTTGGTCGCCTTCCCTGTACTTTTCCTGTCACCAGGAGCACTTCCAGGGTATCGTTTTTCTTCCTGGCTATGTGACCGAAGAATTCGAGGATCCTACGCAAACAGACCGTAGATAACCTAACGGTGACTCCCACTTCTTTAAGAATTGACGCATTTGAGCGGTGGGCTGTCCACGGAACTCGTAACATTCTTCTCCAACACATCCATCTATCCATGTTTCCACACCGTAGGTAATATAGAGAACGCCAGAGTTCTCACCAGGCCAATCTTGGTTTTTAGTGAGATCGATCTACCTGTCCAGATCCTGCCTGGTCGAATCATCGCGCTTTTATTCGAACGTCCGGTTTGCATGAGCCATTGCTACATATGGTAGAGCCAAGGTACACAAAACTGTCCACATATTGGAGATCGAGTACCCCACTAAGCTCCAGTTGTTTTGTTCGATCTATGACAATGACTTTGGTTTTCGATTTGTTCATCGACAGGCCAAGTTCTCCGCTCGCTCGTTCCAGTCGTACCAGCAGTTTTTCCATCTCAGCTTCATCAGTTGCAACGAGTGTGGTATCAACAGCGTAGCGAAAGTTGGTAATGTTAACTCCACCGATGGAAACTCCGCCTTCCCAGTCTTCGAGGGTACGTCGCATGATATATTCTTCATAAGCGTTGAGGATGGGAGATACGATACATCCCTGTCTCACTTCTTTACCAAATTTAAACGGTTTTGAAAGAGTTTGGTCCACCATCACAACTCCACGGTTATTGGTATTAGTGATCGAAGGTCAGATATCACGATCCATAGGCTGTTCCAATTTTTAATGGTGATCGTCATTGTAATTACCATAAAATTGCTATAATATCTAAAACAATGCAATTGAGAGGCAAAGGCATCAGTATCGAGTTCGATACCGATTTATTTGCCATTCCTTCTTTCGTATGTCGGATATTTGTAAAAGTATTTATCTATGTTATTGTAGATGCCTGCATGCAATGTTGAGAAGTGGTGCAAACCTTGTAGCTTAAGATAATATCTACTAGAAGAAATTCGACTTGTCGGTTAAGTACTCAGTTGCATAATAACAAATCTTTATTTCAGGTCGGTCGGGTCTTCTATCGATCCTTGCCTCAGCGAACATGCCAGAAGGACTACTGCGACGCGGCAGCCCCATCAGCACCCGGAACGCGTTGTTGTACTGCACACGGAGAGCGTTGTAAGCCCTCTGCGTGTAGTAAATACCGACACGAGTAAAATGATTGGCAGTATGATTAAAATAAAGTCAATTTGACTTCTTAAGTACTTTGCGCAAAGCTCTAAGCCAACATGTTACATCGGATTGCCAGTCACCTCCTTTCCCTCTACGTCTATGTTATCACATAAGTCCTCAGTGAGCCAGTGACCCAGATACTTAAAATGGAATACCCTATTTCATAATTTGCCATTGAGATGTACAGATGGTATACACTAAGGTCTTTTCCTTGCGTTTTAAAAACCATGATCTCATTTTTGGTGGTATTATATCTAAGTCCGTGAGCCACCGCATAAGACTCACACTTGCTCATGAATACTCTCAGCCCATTTATCGTAGGGCTCAGTAGCATTAATTGTTACCTGGCTATGCGAATTATAGTTTTTTTTGTGTTATTCGTTTTCGTTTCGGGTCGGGAGTGTGTTAGAGATATCCACTACGCTCCCACGTGTAGAGAATATCTTTTCGTTATTTATGTTTTTTGTCGGTCGTTGCTATAGCGATTAGATAATAACAATATGTGGAAAATGTTCGTGTAGAACAAAAGCAAATAAATTATTAGTCTATTTTTAATAGTTTCCTTTAAACATTATCGAAGGCAACAGATTTCCTACACCTACACTAACCCAAACTCCTACATAGTGGAGCCATAGAACCTTTCTTACCCACGGACCTGAAAAAAAAAGAAGGACGTAACATCAAACTAAAATGATGTGAAGCATGCAAGGTCCTACAGTTTCGTTTGTACTTATACTCACACAAATGCACCAGGTCAGACAACCCGCTGCCATTTGACACCGCGTGACAGCGTCAGTCACACGTTCAATTGCTCCGACGAAATTTTTAAAATCTTGTGTGATGAAATCTTGTAAAAACCACACGAGTAAACTTAAAAAGCCACAAGGAATCACCTACGAGTAATAATAATGCGTAAGTAATGACGAATCGTGATATTTTTACTAAATTATATATAATTTAGTGAGATAAAAATTTAAAACAAAAAATGCAACTGTGTGGCCACGGACCTAAATGTGTGTGGCTACTTTTTTATGGGATTTTTTTTCCTAAAAGTCGGGAAATTTGTATTTCATGCATTTGTGACTCGGTGAGATGTCGTAACTTTTTAGGGTTCCGTATTCCAAACGGAAAAGAACAGAATCCATATTATTCATATAAAATTACTCTTGCTTCCTTTTTATGATTAGTGTGATTTAGTTATTCGAAACTGCAGAGGAGAAAACAATTGGAACCCATCATCTGCCAGTACTGTGTGCAGTGCACATTTTGATCATGTAGATTTTATAACTACAGCTAAGGGTCTACGTTGTTTGGTTCCGTACGCAATCTGCGCGACTAAAAATCTGAAGATTTCTGGCAGGACTCAAATCTGCGAGTTCCGATATCCGGGTGGATGCACTAACCACTAGCATTTGTGGTAGTTCCTTTAATAAAAAAAGCGAGTGTGCTTATGACCACACGACTGAAGTGAAACTTCTTTAGCTCCAATGATCTGAAAACCATAAACTTAACCTGAAGATTTGTTGATAGAAAAAAAACCACCAATCTACGCTGGGTCTATTATCACCCACCAATCCGCGCTGGGTCCGTTATCACCCTCTAATCCGCACTGGGTCCATTATCACCCACCAATCCGCACTGAGTCCTTTATCACCCACCAATCTGCACGGGTACAATTTTGTGACGGGTATTGTTCATTGTTTACCGATGAGTCACCGATGACAGTATCCGTAACGTGAAATCGTAACACATTCGCCCAGTTTAACTAACAAAGCGAGATTAGACGTTTCTAATATTTTTGCCAGGTGGCTGGCGCTTCGCCGGCCGCTGCTGAGACACGCTCGCTTAGCTGGCTCGGCTTGAGCTAAGTTTAGGTCACAACACTAACTTAACCTAACTCACTGTCAGTTGGTCAAACGTTCTTTGGTCTGTAATTCCTTCGGTGAGAATTATAAAATCCGTCCGTCAGTTTTAGTGCAACTAGGTAGGCTAGGTTAGGTTTGGATAGGATTAATACAGGCTAAATCTGTTTATTTTACATATTGCCAATGGGCCAGCAAGAGCTCTATACAATCCCTAGGATTTGTACACATTACCTAGGCAAAGTATAAAATGGAAATTATTATTCCATACAATGACTAGACGCCCCATGCATTTTAATCATCGCCTTGCCTAGGTATTGTATAGAATACCTGCATTATACAAATTGCCGGTGACAAAGATTTTAAACTTCAGCTACAAAAAAAATCGATGCTAATCGACATACATAACAATGGTAGCATAACGAGCCCAACTTAATTATCGGTCGATAAAGTTTGTGGTTTGCGTGGTCACTAAATTACGCATTTAATGTCCGCACAAACAAACTGCCTACTCATCGATAACAAAAAAATGCAAAAAAAAAAAAAATTTTGTTCCTTCTTTAACGCTACGGAATAGTTCTACGTTGATAGCAAAGATCTTAGCAGATCAAAACAGAACAAAAACCTTTTGTTCTATAATATGAGACAAAAATGTTGATTTTACAAAAAAATCATTCGATGTTCGACAAGCCCATTAAAAAAAACAATAATTATTAATGAATACTGACTTATTGATTTTACGAAAGTAATACCAAAAAAAAAACAGCAAACAAATTTCAAATAAGTAATTTATTAAAAATAAACTCATATAATTTAAAAAAATTGTGACATTTTTTATCATTGATCACACAACAGACATTTTGTACTTTAAGAATCTATAGCAAAATTGAATACAGAGTTCCTAACAAGAAAAGTGGTTTAACAAAAAAAAACATTAAATATTGAAAAGATTCAGGATACCTCACACATACATACACCTATTTAAAACATTTTTTAATAAGGACTAAATAAAGAAATGACATTTGAATAGCAAACCAGAAACAAGTTGTCAAGAATAACAATTGTAATGGATTATTCATCAATAATAAATTAAAAATCTATTTTCATTTTAATGCAAGATTTTAGCTATGAAACACCACTGATACACAATTATTGTCCTTTAACTTAGCAGAATCGACACCCTGATGCTTTGACACTTTATATTGGCTTTATGTCAGCAATAAAAACATTTTTCTTCTTTCTTCTATATTCAGTCACGCCTGCTTCACCAACTTAACCCATAACCAATGATTACAGCAGGCTGCCCATACATAAATGTTTTACTTAAAATTCTCTTAACTATCAGTTTCACAAGTGATAATTAGGTACTTGACACTAAACAAAAATAGATAAATATAATCTATTAGTAAACAAAAAATCAAGCTAGACTATTTATGCATTGTTTTGTTTGTGTTCATCGTATTCATTTTATTGATGTGACTCGGACCTGCACCCCTCGCTATCCGGGCGGATGCACTGACTTATGCTACCGCGGCCCTAACGGCCGTGCCGAATCCTGTCTAGTTTTTCTTAGGTTGCAAGGCAGCGCCATCTCTTCACATTGTAGGTAGGTGACCCAAAATGTCAAATTAATACCTTTACAAGTATTAAACATATGAAAGAAGAAATTGTAGTTATTTATGTTTATTTAGCATTTAACAGCTAGATGTTTAAATCTAAAGAAAATTCTACTAAAAAAAATTCAATGCTGACCAGGCAGCAGACAGGACTCGAAGCCGCAACCTCCGCTATCCGGGCGGATGCTCTGACCATTATGCTACCGCCGCCCTCACGGCCGTGTCGAATTCATTCTAGTATTTCGTAGGCTGCAAGGCAGCACCATCTCTCCACATTGTAGGTAGCCCACAATACAAAAAAATATACAATGTTTACTTTACTTTCTAAATATACTAAAAAGTTTTATAAAGAAAGATGTCTTACAGATTGAATGATTACACTTCAATTTTACTTTTTTTTTAATTTCATAGGTTAAGTACTATAATTTACAATCACAAGTAGCGCTGTTTACTTAATTGATAAAATACATACACATTTACAATAATTTGTGAAGCAATAGCATATATAACATTTCATTTGCATGTATTGATAATATATCATAGTAATAATATCTTATCCAATCAACATCGATTCCAGTTTTCCAGCATCATACAATGCTTTCACATCTGAACCACCGCCAACGCAGTTTCCGTTAATGAACACTTGTGGAACCTGTAAACACAATCACAGAATAGAATTAGAATATTATAATTCTGATTTAATGTTGGTGTATATGAGCTATCAAGAGAATAGGTGAAATATTAAGAAACTATAAAAACAATAATTAAGATATTACGTGTATTACAAAAAAATGTATTCACTTATGTATACAGTATCAAAATAAAAATGAGTGCATATTTTCATTAAAAAGTAATGCAATCAAAACAAAGCATTATTTACAGGTGCAAGAATAAAAATTGTAAATAATAGGGAGGAAACTACATTGATACCTGATAAATAACAATTAGTTAGTAATTTACAAAAGTATGTGAAATAGGCAATAGACTCAAATACTCATTGTCCTCTTTAGTGCTTCCTAATACTTTTATATACCTACTTAAGTTATGGAAAAATTATTTATTTATTCTAGCACAGATTTATTAAAATTAATAAATCAAATACAATGTCATACAGTTCGGGCTGTAGCAGGTATTATACCTATTTAGAATTATCTATTTTATGTAGTCGCGCTATAGAAGCTCTGCCATCCTGTAAGTATAATCTTATCAAAATTGAGGCCATAATTTGCATTAGGACTAGATTACATAGATATGACAAAATTCTATTAGTGGCTGGTTCAGACACTTCTGATAATAGACGAACATGACTAATATGGAGTGATTCATGAAAAAATTGTATTACTCACTGTTCTAAATCCTGTTATTTGTGCCAAGTTGTCTTGGATAGTATCACCGTCATCCTGCTGATCCAATTCAAACACTTTGAAAGGCTGTTTAACCTTGTTGAATACCTTAAACAATTAAAAGAAGCTAATCAGTTAATTACATCTTAATAACACACTTTGCAAATGAACTTTTGAACATGCACTTTAGTGTAAGCTTGGAAAACATGAATCATAATTTTGGTCTAACAGCAAACGTTAAAAAATAAAAGCAGAAATGTGGTTAGAAAAGGACACAAAAACTTACATCTTTAGCCAATTTGCAGTAAGGGCAATACGACTTTGAGAAAATTACTACTTTGTCTTGGGTTATTGCAGCTTTGATGAATTGTTGGACCTCTGGATTCCCCATTTTCGCTGTACTAATAATTTTGCTGCCACCCGAACCCATAAATAACAAATTCTAGAGTATCGTCATCAAATTATTTATTACTAACTTCAAATCAAACTTGACCCTAGTATGAAGGGTTGGCCGACATATCGAGTGAGTATTAAACCGATAAAAATCGTTAACTCTCTCAGTATCGGTTTATGATTGGTATCGAATTTCCGTCAATGCTTTTTCGTCATCGATGAGGAAAAAACTGACTAATCTTTGAGGCACTGATATCTGAGGACCCAAAACAATTCATGATATCTGTCAAAATAAATAGAAAATGTTATTGAGATGCCTAAGAATGCTGCATGCATAGTAATTTGTTGTAATAACAATGGTAATAACTTCTTTCGTAAGGATAAATGATTGTAAAAGTTATAATAAAAAGGGGCATGGGTTTCCAAATTACAATTTTCAGTATGATGCTATTGTTGATGAAACGATTTTGGCCACGATAGCTTTCCAATGGTAGTAAATCAATTTTAATGTCATCAGATTTATGCTCCACAAGAATTCAACATAAATTTAAACACAATTGACATCTGTCCATAGCATTAAAAAAATTATAGGTTATATTTACATAGTTTAAATACACAATTATGATAAAATATTGTAGCTTTATTATTAGTTTAAATGACATAGGATTATTTGATAAACATGTTTTTAGTCTAATTTACTTGTCACTTACTTACTAGATACAAAGTCAAACTATAATCCTTTGGCGTCCTTTTCGGGTCTTCAACACATTTTTTTTCACAGTCCAATTGAGACCAACAGAATTTCGCTAGAAAAACCGAATCAAACCAACTTAAAGTGACAGATTAATCGTTACTTTGATTTAAGGTCTAACCACCAAATGGCCCGCATCGCATCACTTAAGAACGGACGCGGTCACATCCGATCGCGTCCAGCAGCAAGTCGACGCATACCTGCGATCGGCTCTTCACGGTTACTCACCTCGCCTGCGAATGTATCTTTTACTGCGCCTATTTAATTCATGCCAATACTTTTAAGCCTTGAGTGCTGATGACTTCGACCCCACGCGACATTATCCTAGCGAATCCGGCGATACGTGGATGGAGCCGATCGTACGTCGCACTCATGCTGTCGTGCGCAGGGTTACCATATCTCAGGATTTGTCCTGAGATTTCAGGATTTTTGGACTCTTCTCAGGATTGCGGCTGGATTTTGCAAATATCATGAAATCTCAGGATTTTTTGAATTTTCAATAAAATACAGCTTATTGAACAGATATTAGATTGATACAGCTTACGTTTTGAAGATCTCTTTAATAAAAAGTTAAACAAACTAAAAATAATCTTCCTTTAATAATATTTGTACAATTAAAATCTTATATATATGTATATCTTAAAATCAATACCGCTGCAATCCCGTCTACCCCCGCGCTTCGAGTGCGATTAGCAACGCGTGAGCGACGTCCGCAGTGTTTTAAACTGTAATATTACGACTATTTTAAATTGTTCAGTACGTTTGAAAGAAAATTCTGAAACTGTAAAAAATCTCAGGATTTTTCAATGGAAGTCTAGCCTCTTCTCCGGACTTTTGATTTTTTCATCTGGTAACCCTAGTCGTGCGTGACTTGTTTTATAAATTATAAAGATTGTAAAATCTGTTCCTATCCGACGCATGCGGGCCGTTTGGTGGGGTTGGACGGGGGTCCCCAACGTGTGTAAGCAAGTATTAATAAAAACTTTACATTTTTTTTTAAACTTCCTAAACTTTAAAATGAGTTATCACAAGATGAGAGAATTTCAGACCTAGAATCGTATTTCAAAGTCAATATATATTATTGCTGTATACGTATATTAATTTGTAAAACTAAAGAAAGAGTTCAGAGCTTTTGCGACCTGAGTAGTATGTTCGAAATATTACAACCAGAGAACCTCCTGCTTTCTTCAAGCGAAGAGATATTAAATGCTTCCGTAAAACGGTCGGTTAAATACAGTAAAGACATTTTAGTTAATCCTAATGACCAATTAAAGACTCTAAAACCATGCTTAAAATTTGAAAATCAAAAAATTCGTTCCATTAAAGAACTCATTGAATTATTGCTGATAAAATAGTGTTGCATCCAGTTTTCCGGAGGTGATAACAGCATGCTTTTTATTTCTAGTTACAACAGCAACTGCTGAAAGAAGTTTTTCAAAATTAAAACTGATAAAAAATTACCTAAGAACTTCGATGGTACATGAACGTCCGTCAGAATAATCACTATTGTGTGAGGCAGAAACTTTAGAAAAAATAAAGTCATTATCAGCTTCGAATGATTAAATAAATCAGTTTTCCGCAAAAGGTAAAGAAAATTTGTATTTAATTTGAATTGTATGTAAAAAAAGTGACAGTTAGATAATAGGCTAGTTGACTCATGTCGAATTGTATTAAATAAATGTTTATTTCTTAAAGTATTTGTTCTAAGTAACCTAAATATATCGATTTCACTTCATTAAAGCAGAAGATTGCTGTAGAAATTTAATTAAAAAAAAATATTTTTAGTCTATACTTTGTAAACACTAAAAACGCTGTTCGCCACATCCGCCATGATTGTGATGTCTCTTTTAGTAAACAACTAAATGTCATTCATACATAACTTTAAAACTTGTATTATTAAAACTGATAATAAATGAAGAGACTTATAATATTATTCAATGAGTACTTACATCAAAGCGATCTTCGCAAAAATAAGTTTTACTCAAGTAAAATCACTCACTTTTAGCAAGTTCCAACCAGGTATTGCGTAGGTTAAATTCTTTCGGCACTTTAATCCACAACTTTCCTGGAGTCTTCAAGGATGTGTTTTTACATTCTCGTACAATACAATAATGATAATTACTATATTTTTCGTGGTATCTATTAGAAATCATGTTTTTTTTTATTATAAACTCAGATAGGTTATTTTCTACGTGCTTACGAGTTTTTGTTTACTACCGTCGACGTCATAGCATAGATAATCTATAGAGTAAAATGGCCGACAGCGTTTTTGTATGTCCATGAAAAGTTTATTTTAAAATTAAAGATTTATAGCTCCTATATATAACCTAGAAAAGGTCTCAAAAAAAAACAATACATTTTTTTTCGGTCTGGTAGAACATTTATTAACCATTTAAAACCTTTTTCCAAAAAGGGTCAACTAGCCTATTATGATGAATATTTTTTTTACAATTTTTTTTCTTCTATGGGAAATCTTTACCCTTCCTAAGAGCCCCCAAACAAATTTTTATACGGGGCCCCGCCAAGGCATGCTACGCCACTGGTTTGGCGCCAAAGTTACCACAGTCGCATTTAAGTTTGTAGACACCAGCAACCAGTTTCGGGCCTGTCGAGTGTAATACACCCTTTGAAGTTGCTTGATAAAAAAATAAAACTTGATATTTTAGAATATTATTATGCGCATTTTTATAATTTTATTTATTGCCTCTCCAATAATCAAAAGTTCATTACACCACAAAATTTGAGTACCTGAAATTTTTTTTTTTCCTTCGCATTCATTAAATTTCTCATAAAAAAGAAAAGATGAAAAATCGACGTTTCTAGATTGGTATATCAACATGATTATTTAATCGATTCCTAACATTAACAAATACCGATATTTTCTATTCAGCTGCATCCCTACTTGACACTGACGGATCACTGGCCGAAACGGAGAAATTCACGGCCGTAAAACTTAAAAAAAAACGAGCGAGCCTGAGGGTACGGGTACGGCCAGAGAGCACTCAGATTCAGATTCAGACTCAGAAAACAAGCGCGAGAAAAAAACAGTGTAGTTAAAGCAGGTTGCCTGCTGCCACTATGGCCACCCTGCCACCAGACTCAGAAAACAGGCTCGTGAGATGTCAGCTTGAGTAAAGCAGCTCTAGCCCTTGTGGCGCCAGTGTGCCACCAGTACCCTGGTGCCCCCTAATAGGAGTGAGGTCAAAATGGAATACTTACAGTTATATTTTAAAAAAATCGGGAGCAAATTACACCAATAAAAAATCAAAACCTTTACTTTTAATTTAAGTACTTAACTGTTTTAGCCAGACTGCTTACAAGGAGCTCCAAGTTCCTGGAAATTCAATTTCCTCTAGTCGTATCTTATGTCGTCCCAGATGAAAAGGTAATTAGGTAGTAATTTTGTGGATTACAATAAAATACGCTAGTACATTTAAAAGGAAATGTGTTTTAAAGGCTCTAAGAAGTAAAAATAAAAAGTTATGGCGAAAACGATTTGATTTGTCTCTAAAACATAAAATTCATAATCATTTAATTATTTTCATAAACAACATAATTTTCTATTTTTGTGGGAGCTCCGATTCGCGATACAGAACGATCCAAAATGGTAGGTAGCGGTCGTGCGTGAGCTAGTTTTATATAACGCACATGGTCCAAGTGGCCACGTACTTTGCCAGAGGGGTTCGCCCGCCTATGCCATCTCCATTGGTATATGCTCTACTAGCACTAGCATGTTCTGCCCTGTCCATCGACCTTAGGGTACGGCCACAGTGCCCGCAGATTCAGATTCAGACTCAGAAAACAAGCGGGAGAAATAAACAGTGTAGTAAAGCAGGGTGGCCATAGTGGCAGCAGGCAACCTGCTTGAACTACACTGTTTATTTCTCGCGCTTGTTTTCTGAGTCTGAATCTGATTCTGAATCTGAGTGCACTGTGGCCGTACCCATAGTTTGGATATCGATACTATAGATTATACACCCAGATTTCATCGATAGACCAGTCAACAAGTTGAAAAATGTGAAAAATAGAGATAAAGCTCCTAAAAATATGAGCTCTTTCTCTTATAGCTAGTAAATGAAATATGTATATATTGTGCACGCATATATGTCGTGGCCATATCGTAGATTTGATCACTTCATGAAATGCTCGAGAATTTCATGAAATGGTCACATTTCATGATGTGGCCACCTTATTTTGACCAGATCATTAAATCGTCAACATTTAACGATTTGGTCATCCACATTTGGCCGGATCGTATAATTAGGGTGTCCACAAAATATTTATTAAAAATCCAGAATATGTAAGAACTTCTTTATTGTTATTTAAGTCCGAATGACACAAACA